CAGCACTTTTATTTGGCTAAGATTTAATTTCATTTCCCCCCCATCCATTCTCTTACAACCTGTACACAGGTCAAGACTTCTATCACATCCTCAGCTTGGCCCAGGATGGAAATGTGTATTTGCATATTATCAGCATACTACTAATAAAAGGATCGGCATTTTTCCTGTTTCCTCAATTGTCAGCCCTTTGAGTAGACCAAGTCAGGAAACAGACACCACAAGCAGTAGTAGGATTCCACTTTATTGATATAGGCTATAACAACAGAATCTTGAAAGTCTGAAAAAGTTTCTCTTTCCCTCCCTAAAACAGTCAAGGTAGGCCAATGTTGAGTTTCTTCCTGTGTTTCTGGGCTAAGCTGATGTCTTTGTATGGCTTCCACGTATTTTCTTCAAGGCTCTTTCTGTACTCCTCTACTACGTCATAGGAGGATCTACCAAACAATGCTGTGGTTCCAACCTGAACTGATGGATGACCTTCCTTAGCTACTTCTTATAGACATCAAAGAGCAAAAGAGAGATGAATCCTGAGGCACCCCGTATGGAAGCAACTGTAATGGATGGCATGAGTGGGGAAGATTCTGGAATGGAAGTTCAAGGTTCTCAGGAGGGGGGAGAGGCATTCCAGAGCAAGCGCCTCCTCAGCCTGCAACAAGAGTGTGGGAAGACGAAGAGGATGAGACTGGCCCCTCCCTAGAGTCTCACGGAGTATATCTACTAGTTGCTTTAGCATAGGTTTAGTCTGGCGAGATTCTGTCTATTAGGTGCGAGCTAATAAAGGAACTGAACTGTACTGGATTGTCTCATTGTTGTTCTTGGGCTGAACCCACTGAAACAATTTCTTCCCCCTCTCCAATCCATCCCTCACTGTTCAGGAAAGAGTAGGACCCCTACAACACAGTGCCACCAACTCTTAACTCTCACAGGCAGTTGAGAAAGATACTGTGATTGATGGTATTGAAGGTGCAGCTGAGAGATCTAAAAGGACCAGGAGGGCTGCACTCCCTCTGTTGAAGTTCTGATGATCATCCATCATAGGGGCCAATGAAGTTTATGTTCCATGCCCAGGTCTGAACCCTGAGTGAAGGGTATCTATATAAATGTACTTCATCTAGCCTGTACTGTAATCCCACCACTTTCTCTACAGCCTTTCTCAAAAAGAGAAAATTGGAGGGAGGAAGTTGTATATAATGTGAGATCTAGAAAAGGCCTCCCCAGGAGGATGCTCACCACTGTCTCCTTTAAGGCAGTTGGCACAGCTCCTTCTCCCAATGAGGCACTGACCACCTCTTGGAACCAGCTCTTCCTGGCCACCTGAAGAAGATACACTAGGCATGAGTCCAACCTGCAAGTGGTAGAGCTCATGCCATTGAGCTCCTGATCCAGTTCTTTAGAATCAGCAACTTGAAATGAATCCCTCATGATGTCACAAAGTATTATTCCAGTCACTTTTTCAGACCCTATGTGGAATCCAGGTCTGAATCACTCTGCAATTTTACCTGCAAAATGTTGCAAAAATATCTCATTACTGTCTAAGTAGATCATTCGGCCTTTTCCCAAAACACAGTGGAACACCCTAAACAAGACTGCTGGGAAATCCTGTTGAAGCAATAAAGACAGAGTAGTACTGATGCTTCATATCGGGGCTCCCCAGCAAAACTGTGGCAGTCAGGGAGTAATCTCCACCAGGGATTTCATACCCCACACTCATCAATCACCAGTGGTCCTGGATAAATCACTGGTTCCAGTAAGTGATGGTGGTAGTGGGAGCAGTCTAGTCCTAGACCTTTGTGGGGTACCTCAGAGCTTTACATTCTCCCCTCTCCTTTTTAACATCTACATGAAGCCACTGGAGGAGGTTATCCATTAGAATAGGGAGCATTAGTATCAGTATGCTGACGATACTCAACTGTATCTCTCTGCCCCAGCCACCCAAGTGAAGTTGTCAAGGTTCTGTCTCAGTGTCTGGAGACTGTAAGAGTCTGGACTGGGAAGAGCAAGCTTCAGCTCAATCCTACCCACTGGCTGTGGGTTTTGGACCCCATGGGTCCTGGAACTGGACAGATTTAATCTTTGACTCAGGATGGGGTTACATAACCCCACTCAGGCTCAGTGAGCAAACCCACTTCTGGCCTGACAACTCCTGCTTGAAAAGCAGATAGTGGTTGTGACCAAGGGGTGCCTTCACACAACTTTCTCTTGTGTATTAATTGTACCCATTCCTGGATTGGAGGGATCTGGTTATTGCCATTCATGCCTTAGTTACCTCCCAATTGAATTATTGCAATACACTCTACATGAGGCTGCTCTTGAACACTATCTGGAAACTTGGTCTAGAATGCAGTGGGCCAGGTAATTAAGGGTGTTCCTCATTATGCTCATGTAGTATCTCTACTTCATGAGTGCACTGGCTCCCTATAGGCTTCCAGGTGCAATTCAGAGTACTGGTTATTGTCTACAAAGCCCTGCATGACATAGGACTAGGTTATTTGTGTGACTGCCTTCTCCCAAGGGCATCTGCCTGTCCCACAAGCTCCAACAGGGAGGGCACACTCTGGATCTCTTCTCTGAAACAATGTAATCTTGGGACTCAGGAGGAATGATTGTTTGGGACAATCCCCCCACCCCTACCCCAATATATAGTTGGCCCTGACCTTGTAGGCCTTTAGAAATGCAGCTAAGAGCTGGGTGTTCCTCTGGGTCCTTGGGTCACGATGAGTACCCAACTGGTGAATTATAATATATTTTAGTCCCAATTACATTTAATTATTTAGTATGCTTTAGTGTTATTTTTCTTTTGTAATTTTGTATGCTGCCCAAAGTCACACTGTTTGAGTTGGGCAACCATATACAGGTAGTCCTCGCTTACCAACTGCCTTAATGACTGTTCAAAGTCACAATGGTGTAAAAAGACAGCTTTGTAACCGATCCTCACATTTACAACCATCGCAGCATCCTGCAGTCACATGATCACCATTTGTGTGCTTCGCAACTGGCTTCCAACAAGCAGAATTAATGGAGAAGTAAAATTGCAAGTCATAGTTATGTGATGTCTCACTTAATGACTGAATGGGAAGTGAGGTTGTAATCCTGTTGCAGTCATGCGATTTTCCACTTAGCAATGGAGTTGCCAGTCCCAGTTGTGGTTGCTAAGTGAGGACTACCTGTAAATGCCCTAAATAAAAAAAATTAATAGGCCTTCTTCACTCCATGTCCTGCACAATGGGGCTTGTTAAAGGGGCTTCTTGTGGGTCCATAGGACTTGATGAAAAAGGACTTTGGGATTTTCCCCATTTATTAAGGAAACACATCAAAATAAGCAAACTGTTTATGACGGGAAGAAATGGTGAACTGAAGATGGCTCCGCTAAAAGTGAAGCTGACCATCGTGGAGGGATGAGGAGCCGGCAAGTAGATTGGCTCTTTGATAATTCTTCTCCGGACAAGGAGAGGATTTGAGATTGCCCACAAGTGCTCCAGACAGCTGCCCCTTGTGAGGAGACCGCAAGGCAGTGGTCTCTGGCGGGTTTAAAACTCTGGCAGACAAGGGAATAGCCATCTTGCTCAAACCACGGTTGGTGTCTTTAAGGATACTGGGTTCGCATACTTCCTTTTTTAATCACTTTTAGAAATTGCTTGTTAACTGCTTTTTAATTATTAGGAACCTTTGGATCAACAAGTCTGAAACACCGGGTGAGTTTCCTTCAATCCTTAGCAAAAGAAGTTTTAAATACAAGTTTAAGGACTTAGAAAAACATATATTTTTTTGGAATAAACAGCAAAAGGGTGCCTAGAACTTTGATTTTAAAAAGTTACAAATGGACTAAGGGTCCAGATGGATTTGAAATAAGATTTTGGAATTAATTATAAGAATCCTTCCCATGGAAAAATGCTTTTGTTTTGAATTAAAAAAAAAATGATGAGACTTTGAAGATTGGACATTAGAGGGAACCAGAAGGAACTAAAAATTACAATTAAAGAAGAACACTTACATTTGACTTACTAATACATAATGAGTCAAAATATTTTAACATTGGACATATTGAAGGATATTTTTGAACAATGGACCCAGAAGTTAATTTTAAGAGTGTCTGCCTCTATAGATAGACTGTATTTAAAAGATGTTATGAAAGAGGAACCAGTTTTACCTGACAAGACTGAGACATAATGAGTCAAAATATTTTAACATTGGACATATTGAAGGATATTTTTGAACAATGGACCCAGAAGTTAATTTTAAGAGTGTCTGCCTCTATAGATAGACTGTATTTAAAAGATGTTATGAAAGAGGAACCAGTTTTACCTGACAAGACTGAGACTGATCTGAAAGTGGATTTAAAAATGATAGGCTACAAGAATGACATGGAAAAAGATATTACACTGGACATACAAAAGAAACTGGCTGATGTCTTAATAATTAAAAGGGATATACACATAA